AGCAATCTACTAATTCCGAGTAATGGCGTAAAGGAATGTCTTCGACTAACAGGACCAAAGGCCGGTTGCGTTGGCAAGTGGATTAATGATCTGCAACATGTGCGTGGTTGACCAGAGGCAACAAATGCGGGGTTTCCAAACACAGCGCAATAAAATGACAATACGGCCTGAGAGTGGGTCAAGCTTATGTGTATTATGGACCACTGCTAAGTAGAGTAAATTGAATTCGGTTGGAGTGTGTAAGAAGCAATGATGAATCCGAGCTCAGTGAAGATTAAGAATACCACCAGGATCGGAAAGTAGGAAGAGAGTTGCCATTTTTCAACTTCAATATCCATTAAAAATGCGCGCGCTGTGTTGCTGATTTGTAAGTGTGAAAATAGGCAACAGAACAGTCACAGAAATAACCAGCAACATGGTAAGGGCGTCTTGTACATAAAACGTTTCGGGAAGAGTCGAGTTTACGGTTTACATAACACCAAGGTATATAGTGTTGATTTGGCCATGAAGTACGAATAGAACTTAGATAGCAAAATTACCAAGGAAAGTTCATGCGGTGTTCAGTTCAGTTCAGTTGAACGACTATGATCCGAGCACCGAAGTGCGGCGGGTCCAGTTGCCACGACTCACATTGCAAGAATAACAATAGAGAACAACGGCAAGATAGTGGGATCGAATGCAAATAGAACGTATGGGGAATGAAAGCAAGAAGTGCATTAAATGAATCAGAATTGAACGAAAATTAGCGACCAGATGCAACAAAACCGCAAGAAACCGAGTGCATAAACGCCACTGACTGCATGACTGCACCATGTCCGATACGGTCTCCAACCACTGTTGTGGACCATCCCGAGGACCCGAGGACGCACCAGTCTGACCAAGTCCCACAGCCAGTTTCTTCATACCTCTATGCCACGTCATGGATTGATCATCCCGCGGTTTCGTCCGACTTGGTGTAGTCACGACGTATAATGCACGACGAAGAAGTCGGCCACCGGGTATACGGAGGATATGGCCTAGCCAACGTAAGCGAGTAACATACCGTAATTACTCGAGTGGGGAACGAGGACTTTTGTCAAAAACCAACTGGCAGACTTCAGCGCTATTCACCAGGTGTTCTCACCAGACGTGGGTAGTGCTCTGAAAGCACCGGTGGTCAAACACGGCAGTTTAACGTTTACACTGCGAACTGGCCAGGTCTCTGAGCCATACAATAGGACCAGCTTTGTTGCAGAGTTATACACAGTACCTTTCACTGACAGGCTGATATCCCGCAATCTCCATAGATAGTTGAGTCGCTGGAAAGCCACACAGGCCTTATTGATACGTGAAGTAACTTCCTCAGAGGTGATAGCTACAAAAATAAGCGAACCGATCTGCCACTTCCAGTGGCTGCTCGTTGATAGTTAGAATCGGGTGTGTCTATGCGGTATGTCATCGTAAATTAGCGGATGCGGAACAACGAGACGAAATTGATAAGGGAGAAAGTGCTCTGCAGCTCCCTGCATACCAAAAATTCCATAATATCCAAAGGACGCTTCAGCAACGGTAGAACAAAGGGATCGACGAACATCAGTAACTCAAAACGAGGAAAATGTTGAAAGTAACAACGATAACAATAATAGCAAAATGTGATAATGCGTATCCAGAGCAAAGCAAGCGGAGAACGATCAAATCCAAAGGGCTGGGTGTATAAAAATGCGGAATCGTCAAGTTTACGAGCAGTTGGTGAAGAATATACATGCCTCGGTACGCACTACTGCAACTGAAAACCCAGACTACGGTGAGGGAAACATTGCATGGAAAATAATAATAATAATAAGTTGAGTGATAAAAAACATGGATGCTAAAAGAAAGAGATGGTTGCAGAACATTCAAAGTTGGTTCTCAACAATCGCGCCATATTTTTGGAAAGTTCGGGCATCAGAGATTATTGTAAATGTGCAGGGAGCCCAACGAATCTGCGCGTCTTGATCTAGAAATAAAACTTGGTGTATTTTTCTACTCGGTGAAATCGACGTTCGTCCCTATTACGCGACCATTGGTGACTAGTTAGAGATGGTGATGTTCCACCACCGGTGCTTTCGTAGCTTAGCTCATGTCCGGTTGGAACACCGTGTAAACAATGAGATCGTATACCGCCTCGTCCTTGTAGCGCGTAAAGGACTTGAACCAACCAGTACTGTTATATCACGCAGCAGGCTCCGAAAGATGAGCTATGCGTTACGCACGGCAGCTACATGCGCTTTTTGAGGAACCGACGTGGGGATGGAGGGAGAGAGGAGAGTGGAGCAGCTGATAACATGGTCAAAAGGAATGAGGGCCCACGTTTTGAACTCGAACTCGGTCAGTGCCTCTCGAATCACAGATTGACGTCCGAAAGACGACGAACAACGTTGGCCATACACACCATTTAACATGCCAAGAGAGGAAGTGAGTGGCACTTGTGTCGTGGGCATCTTTGTCCCTTCCAAACTAACCACGATCTCAGTCTCGAAGTAACATATAGAACAAAAAATAGTACCAAGTTTGGCGTTAGTCGTGCTGTTTTTTTCCTGTCTTATTACTGTCGTCTACCTGGATTGCAGTTTATCACAACAACTGGTGTTTCTCCTCTATCTAACGTGTAGAATGATGATGACGATGAGGAGTTACAGGCTAATGTGACCAGGTCTGTGCACGTTACCAAGTAGTGTTTTTAAAAACGGCTTGTAAGCTGCTGCCTTTGTGTGTTTTGCACTTTGCTGGCGATAGGAGGAGAGGGCAGAATTGCTCATTCGTATTTCGCAACGATGCATCGCCATCATGCGACGGCAAGTAGTTGCACGATGGTCGGGACAGTGAAATAGAATCCAAAACGATGCAGGGATTGCAATCCAGGATGTGGTTAAAGGCTGACGTCTGAAGTGCCACATCACAAGTCCGCTATGCTGTCAGCCAGCGTAAACATGGGTGAACACGGGTCGAAGTTATTAATATGGACAGTCCACAACGTCCGAATCTCCTTTATCTCCAAATATGTGACCTATAACGTGAATGCTAGACGGGGATACAAAATAACGTTGTCATGTTCCAGTGTTGCAGTATTGCTCACATAGCGTTGGTCAGATACTTGGTTCCCTCCACCACTGTGCTTTTGGTGCACCGTTTTTCGGTCAGGCCCATGCAAACTTCCACATCACAGTTGTTCGAATTCAGATGCATTTTCTCAAACCCCAACCAACAAGTTTTTTCGAGAGAATGACACTCCATCATCGTTATTCTGATCTGTCATATTTTCTTCGTCTTCTTCACCGATTAGTCACGTTGGACTAGTGCGCATCTGCTGCTGAATAATCTTTGCCCATGGGACGGGCGCACGTCGCTCTATCTTCCACCTCTATTAACATCCCACAGCGGCTAGTTGTCTGAGTTCTGTGAGTCAGCACACTGGTATGCTTTGTTTCAAACTGTTGACCATTAAATTATAACTTCATCAGAGATATCATTCGTTCAATGATCCAAAGTAGACCGGAGCGCATTTCCGAGTACTTTTAGCAGCAGATGTGATCCGAGTACCGAAGGGCGATAAAGAACGTCGCAATGCTTAAATGACCGGTATGTGGATGATAGTGCCGATGGTAGGTGGATGAGAAAAATGTGATGTTTTTCAAATTAAAACGCTAGCTACTCGAATGTCGACACTGAATTCTAGACCGTGTTAGCAAATGCTTATATACACTGATCTATGCACAGTATCAAGGTCATCATCCGCGCAAACGGTGCATAACGAGGTGACCCTGCGGCTTCGCGCAACCGAGTACGATGTCCGAAAGTAATGCATATCACAGTAGTTCTTCCGTAGTCAACATGAGCGAGGCACGTCGAACGGGTGGTTCAACGTAGGCGGTCAACCGATGTGCCGCTTTGTACTCAGTGGTACCATCAACTAGGCAGTCGTTTGCGCAGACACATCAGTATATCACAAATGTGAGCACAAGTAGTTGGCATCTCGCTGCCATATGACCGAAGTGACCTTAATAGGGAGGAATAATGAGAGGATAGAAAGGGATCTAGTTGAAAGATCCAAATATCATAAAGAGACACTAGACTGAAGCGAGCACAATGTAGCAATATTACACTGATACAAACAGATAAGGAGAAAATCAGCGACATAGGCTCCTAGCAATTTTCTTTGCCCTAACTATTAATTGACTCCGGATACTTCGAAGCCCTACACAACTTCAACAGGCAGTTCGACCAAGAGCGACTGTAAAGAAGCGTGAGAACATTCTTCGTGACAGTACCAGATTCAGAGTGGTTTCATTCAGTGTGGAGATGGTCTGCGTACTTATGGCACGCATGTTTCCCCCAAGTACATATGAACAATGTGCGTGTTGAGGAGGAGTAAGCCGGCTCTGAATCAATCACTCCCCCCCATCCTCATGCCACCCGATCTTATTTTTTTGGTTAACAGTGAAGATAGGGGTGAGTGGATGGGCCTGTGGGTGTTGCATTGTAAACCACTCATGGTCTCTCAGAAGATGCAGGCGCCCATTGGCCGTTCGCAATCGCAGTGAAGGGTAAATATGGTAGAATGCCACAAACCATTTAGTTTTTATGGGTTCAGTTAAAAGTGTTGGTAATATCTGCAATATTCTGGGAGGACTGAAACACCACAAATATGTCATCGACAACGGTGGCAGAGGCTAAGTTGCGATGGTTGATTTTAGGCTCCCTTGTTCAAGCACGTCCATTTAGTTTTTCTTTCAACAATACGCTTATTCTCCCAACAGCCCAGCATTATCATTAGTAAGTGTTGTTGTTACGCGATGAGGTCTGAAAAGACGAGATTCATTTCCCTTCTATCCTCCGATAATGAGTAATGACTTGAAATGGATTATTCGGACAAAGCTTTCCAAAAGAATTACAGTTGACGTTCACGAGAAGTAAAATATACGATACGTACTTGGCTTAGGTGATCCAGTAGTAAGCATTGTTTGTCGAAAAAGCAGGCTTACTTCAAAATGAGCTGCATGGTGTCATTCCGATGCTCGGCTTGAAATGGAAGTGTCCCGGTAAGCATTTCGTACATCAACACGCCGAAACTCCACCAATCAGCTGCGGTTCCGTGCCCATGTCGGCTGATCACCTCAGGTGCCATATACTCGACCGTACCACAAAATGAGAAGGTCTTCTCTCCAACATGGTCAAATACAGACTCTTTTGAAAGTCCAAAATCGGTCAGGCGTATGTGGCCGTCTTCGTTTAACAGAATGCTAATAGAAAGATAGCGAAAAAACGTAAAATAGGGTATGAAAGCGAATCATAAACACCATCATTACACGTCAGGCGAACGTAAGAAACACACTCCCACTAGTGTGCCGCAAGGCAGAGTTAAGATACATGAAAGTGATATACAAAACGTACAAAACGACAAAAGCGAGATACAACCAAGGCAAAGCGAAAAGAGAGAGGAAAGAAGTTCAGCTGTCGTTCGAATATGGTGCAACCTTAGAAACCAAGTTTTAAAAAGTGTAAGGAAAATAAGACCACTTGGCTGATCCATTGCATAAATGGACCGAGCATCCCACAAGACACAGCACTCATAGAAAGTTGGCAAAGTTACTTTGTATCATACGCCACTGCCATGCAGAAATCAAAGAGAAAGACGGTGTGGTTGGTTCACTAGAAAGTATGCATACATGAGTTTAGCTGGTAGATGTATAGCAAGCTCGACACTTGAATGAGTTTCACACCATAACATTTAATATATTCAACCAATTATGAAGAGGACAGTCCAGGAGAATACTAGGTGGCATATCCACCAAGTCCCTCGTCCCATTACGTTGAGATGACATTAATCACATATTTTCGACGTCATATACGCGTACTTGGAGTGTACACATTAGCAGTCATTGTGCAAGCATACGTAAATATCGAGAGAACCCCTTGGGAGGAACGAACTGGTGAGATGGGTTGAGAGCGTTAAGCGCCCAACACCGATAAGATAATATCAAAAAGAATCCTGAATGAAGATAAACAATTTCATCCATAACAGTCCACGGGTACTGTTGATGTGTATGATGATGGTTTCAAGGCCAGAACGAAATGACACAGCGGCAAGCAAAAGTTCAAGAAATAGACATAGAGTCAACAGGAACCATGAAAATCAAATAGCAGCGTGCGGGCATTTCACATGTCAATAGTTGTCTTTTTCAAGATTAGTTAGAGTAAACAGACGAACCTAGACAATTGCGCACACAGGCCTCCCAGTTACAAGTCGTTTCAAGCCATCGAAATTCCTCGTCCTTGGGTTCCGAACCAGGAAAATGTATGGATTCAACAGTGGCTGTGTAAAATCAGCTATTTCAGCTGCTGGTACTGAGCAAAAGGCTGACCACCTTCCGGTCTAGTGCTACACGATCAAACAGGACGCGGCGCTATGAATGCTTACGCGACATGCGCAGTAAGTGACCGAGCCATCTAAACAGGCGAGCAAAACCAGCTTGCCGAAGGGAACGCTCGCAGTTCCAAAGATGTAATGCCTAACACTATGCATTCGGTGTTGTCACCAGACAACCCTTCTTAAACGCCCGTTGTCGCAGAGTAAAAGCGGACTATCATACAGATAGACTGACCAAAAGTCTCCAATACGAAAAACGAGCGAATAAAGGAGCCGCGAATCCTGCCTTATACGGAAGTGGAAAAAAAGCTTAAAATGCCACAATCCTCTCAGACTGGCCCAACATATGTCTAACTGGGGTCATAAGATAGGTGGACCTGGGTACTGCAGATGATATTAATAGTTCAGAGAAATGGAGAGTAGTACAATGAGCCATCCGTAAAACAGAATGAGCATGGAGACCACCTAGAGCCATATGGCACAAGATATCAGGACGAGATCAGTGGTCGTGTCTGTCGGCCGGCGGCCGAGAGGACTGCATGCCTGCCTTGCAATCCTTAAGTCACTGGTTCGAATCCGCGTAGGGACGGGCGTCCTCGCGGTATACTCAGCCCACGCGCAACCAGTGGTTGTCGCGTGGCAACGAAGCGTCAGTAAAGTGTGCCGGCGTACTGCTGACGACTCTTTCCGCCTTAAATACAGGAAAAACAATTACTGCTGGTCACTAAGTGGCGTTCGTAAAGAGGTTTAAGAAGGGACAGCGGCGACATCACAAACAAACCACAGTGGACGAAGAGTATGTATGCCAGGCTTGTGTGGAAACGTGGCGACAAAGTAGATCTGCAAACTGAATAACTAAGAATACCATGGTGAAATGAGATGAGGGCAGCCGACTTGACTATATGACCGGAAAAATAACAGTGATGACGAAGGCAGATGAAAATCACGAGTCGAGGATAAAACAAAACAAAGAGAATTTTCGGACAAAAGGGCAAAGCGAAAAGAAAAGCACTAAAAGAAACAGCACTACTGACGAACTGAGCTAGCCCACCGAAGGCTGAAGGCACTATTACAACCCAGGCTGCGCGTGTCTTCACTACAGAAAATAAAGTCCCCAGCAGTACGTCGGTACACTGTACTGACGTTTCGCTGTCACGCGAGGGCTGGTTGAACCGCGAATTCGCCCACACCTACATGGGTTCCTCCAGCTAACGTAGCATCACCGAAAGGCCTGTGACGAAGTAGATGGTGGTGAGGCATCCGAAAATCATGACCTAAAGTACAGAACGACCGAAAACCAGCCAACGGTCCAATGCAGCACCGGGAGCTTTGGCGTCAGAAATCAGTTGCCGGACGGTAACAATACCTGTCCGGGTGTTTTACCAAGCATGAATGATACTCTACAAGCAGCTATCAGCGGTCGGTAGCCATAATACACTGAAACAGGTGTAGACAACGGCTTAAACAGGCACATGAATTTACGTGTACAATGACGACACAATAGACAGGCCGAATCGTTTGTAAAAACAACCTGTCCAGTACCCAAGCCCATTGACCTGAGACAGGACTGATCATCCACATTGCAAGCATACGGTTTCACTCGCTGAGGTCTACAACAGAGCAGAGTTTCAATTGATATGCAATATGGTTTGTTCGTTCTGAGTAGTGCTTCCACTAATCTCACAGGTGTTGTGATTGAGTAGAATCCACCAGACGGGTTGAAAGTACGTCGATTGAGAAGACGTAGACCTGCGAGTTAGCCTTTAACCATCTAAAAACCTCGGTACGTAAGCTACAATAGAACAAACAATAGATTAAAACCCGAAATAGAAAAACGATAGTTCACAATAGCAACAGAAGCAGCAACAATGTAAGAACGCAATTTCACATCATTGTTCCCTGGTGATAGAAGAGGAGTAAAACAATTATATAAAATAAGCTTCGCGACTGCGTAAAAAATACGGTCTTGTTCTTTTTTGTTGGATGTGTTATCAGCATTAGCACGAATCGCAGAGGGAATAATCGTGTGTACCACAAGGTGATTCGGGTGCGGATGAGTGTGTTTGAGAAGAGACCGATGAAACTGTGGATCTGCATGACACCACCTCAGGGAAATCGCTTACTTGTCCCCAGGCGTTCCTGTTGAGTTTCTTTGCCCCCTCTCCTTTAGCTTCCTTCTCCAAGCACGATCTTATTCGCGATGCATGATACTATAGCATTGACTTTTTGATATTATTTTGTATCCTATAATGGTTACTATCTTGCGGCACAATAGCTGTTTCTTACCTACAGCTAACGCATAATGCTAAGATTGCAATGCGCACAAATCGCACACAAGACCAGGTCCTCTGAAGTTGAATAGGGATGGAGGAAGTTTGTATGCACCTGCGGCTTTACTTATTTGCAACAGTAGGATTTCACGTCCGACTTCTGCGTGTGAAGGTGGATCGATAGGGGTGGCCTGGGGAGGACAGTGTTGTGTCGCCAGTAATGATGTGTCGAAGCCCCGTGAATGCTTCCCGTCCGCTTACAGTAGCGAGAACACGCACGGCAATCCGGGTAGCAAAACTATGTTACACGCCGCACACCAAACCGGCTACCAAGCGTCCGTGAATTCAAATCAATGGAATAATTCAAATCAGGGCGTATACAAAGGCTATACAGAAAGAGTGACATTCGATTAATCAAGGCTAGTCATTCCAAAGGCGAAGGACCGATACGGTGCCTCACATACGAGCAAAATGCACAGAGTAAGAGAAAAGCCAATAAGCATAAGATCCAGTGTCAATACAAGTTAATCACAAATAAGAGGTAAACAGAAAACGTATGCTAGGAACCGTAAAAAGTGCGAGATGTAATAAAATAAATAATAGTAGTGGAGTTTCCTTACCCCCGCTATAACAGACATTTAATCACCAATAGGGAAAGTAGCAGCTGGCTGAGTAACCTACCTTTTAAAGTGTTCGGCATAGGAATCCAATCGTTTTGACAAGCTGTGGACTGGTTGTTCACTGTCGTCGTATATACTCATGCTAACACCAAGTCTCTCGCTGCCCCATTTGGCATATCAGATAGAATAATTTACGACGGTTGTTAAGGGTGGCGGCTGCTTCTATATCTGATGAACGGTGAGCCCACCAGGCTCCGCGGTTTCACTTTAGGCTAGCACGCAGTTTCAGCCTGGTGCCTTTGCGAGTCTCGTTGTATTTGCTTCCAGCCGGAAGGTGTGGAAAAGTACCTAGAAGTTACATAGACGGTGTAGAGACCCAACATTCAGGTTTACAATCAGATTCGTCACAAGAAGGCATGCATGGCATTGGAGGATATGCAAACAGTGACCTTCAACTGCGCTCAGTGAGGGCTTACCCAGGCCGCATTCCAACACGGTTTGATTTACATTCAGAACATGTAGCTTCGCCAGGTGGCTGGTGTCTACAGGCGCATCGTCGCCAAATGTGTGCGCCGAAACGGACTCGGATATCGACACATGCACAAGTGTGTGGTCTGAGTCCACGCTCGTGCTTCAAATCAAGTGACAGTTTCGGACACGGCCTCACCAGCGGTAACTGTTCGCGATATGATAGATTTGTGTCCATGATTGGTCCGACGCTAGTGAGCGCCATGCCAGTCTCTGGCGGGTGCTGTGTCCGGAAATTAGTGCTCGCCAATACTTGACGAGCAGCTTCATATAGGTGTAACTTCCGCTCGGCGTTAGCATTACGGGAGCCTACGCTGTGTTGGCCACTCAAGCGCAGCTTATCAGTGGACAGTATTCCAACTTGTAAGTTCAGATCAGCAGTCAGCACCACGGTATTCGTACATCTGTAAAAAAGCGGTGCGTTCAGTTGGTGATAGAAGTCATCTTTCATCGAGTCAGCGTTACAGTTTGTAGGGGCATAGGCTGCAATCACAAACAGACACCATTTGTCCGCACGCAGCTTAAAAGCTTTGAACGTGCCAGCCGATCTGACTGCACATGGTTGGCTATTGATTGGGATGCAATTGATCAGGACAGCATCAGCCCCATGACTCAGAGCAATACGCACACCGGACTGACTGGTATTCGAAGCTGCATTATCTACGGATAGACGCAGCGAGAAAATACCAGTAGTGCCAGATGAAAGAGATGAGCCAAAAACTAGAGCTATGATCAAATTAATAGTGCTGTTAGGAAGCGTTCCAGAAATTATTCTCGCAGCACGATGGCTGCAGTCGAGTGGATGATAAGCAGCAAAAACCGAGGTGTGGGGTCGCACGGTGTTTGTCTTATGTGACGTCAGATGGTCTGCATGCAGATAACTAATCGCGGGAACACAGGCAACCCGAGGATAACTTATAAAACTGGAGCTTAAATAGTGAGTGCTACAAGCATCTCCAGATAAGTGTAACCAAAGAGGACTCAAACGCAAGCAGAAGGCTAATGACATGAGTTATGGTTGGCAGCATCCGGTTCCGAGTTTGCCTGTCATTGTGGCCTCTATAGGACAGCCGCATGATGCCTGCGCCTACAGAGAGACCATGGGTGGCTTGCGCTGCATCATTCACAGCTCCATCTACACACCCCATATCGCGTAAACCCGAAGGAATGACCGGGAGGCATGTGGATGAGAGCCACGTTACATCGACGGAACCGGCCCACAACCTGTCAAGATGCAAGGAAGCAGCAGCAGCATTCAAGACTGTAGGGAATCATGCCTTACCAGAAGTACACAACGAGATGGCTGAGCAGTAGTCCGCTTCACACTGGATGGAACCAGTCTTTGAGGCTAGCAAGGCCATGAGGACCGTGCAACCCATCTCCCAGCAACGATTCACACTATGCTGAAGCCAGTAATTGTGGTGGGTGTTAGACAGGTAGACACCTTGTCAACATTCACATCAAGCGCAGCCACACTGAGGATATCAAATAACCAACATAGAATTTTAAGGAAAGCAAATATGTAAAATTGACAGAGTAACAATGGAACAAACCAAGTAAACAGGAATGACTTGTATTCGGATTAGAAAGACCTAGATTAAGTGTAAGTTGGTTTAGTCAAATTGAGGTGAAGTAGCATCATGATGGCAACATCAATCTCAGCAGGAGGCACCTACATGAGTTATGTATCGTAGTTTCCAGATTCAACAAACGTAAGTATATGAAATATGTAGGGTGTGTGTAAATGCAGCACGGCGTTCTATGTTATACAACATGAACTGGTACTCAATCAAAAAAGCTGGTAGTGTGGCTCAACGGCAACATATCACTGAGCCCGAAGGTTATATCAAATGCTTTCAGAGAAGATGCGAGTATTCACCCCAAGAGCGTTCCGTTTCGTAGGCCTGTAAACCAGAGCACCTGAAGATTGCTGCAACAAGAACGCCCACAGGTCATTAATAACAACACCGATTAAGCTTACGGCAATTTTGGAAACAAATTCGACCGCAGCCAAAGCCTCTTTTGAAGGTCTCCAGTGTTATAGTCCACTAAGGTTAAAGGTACTTATTGACGCTTAGCCGCAGCTCAACTATCAGCGGTTGCACACCGACGGATGTATTGCGAAATCAGCTATGACTAAGCAGGCTCGGACCGGAGACCAGCGGATTAAACGTTAGACGCCCGGATCCTACATCCATTGATCGGAATGGATAACGGCAGCGCATCAGTATTCGGCACTGAAGCTTTGCGGTCACGCAACCACCAGGGGCTGCGTATTAGCTAGGATGCTTGTAAGGCCGCTAAAGTCTACAGTCTAGAACGGTGACCAGTAGAGTACGAACCGACACGCTAGACCACTCTCACCGGTGGAGGAAATTTTAAAACACCTGCAGATTACACGATTCTGGATAAGTTTTATCCATAAATTCAGTTTGAGCATCTGTTACTTGAGCTTACTACCGCAGTCTCTAGGATGTTTCCGTCAGAACTCTCGTAAGCTGCGAAGGATCAGTGAAAAAGTCCCACACTGCTTAGTCTTCAGTTAACCATGACACATGAGTAGACATCGTTCAGGCTAGATGCATAAAGTGAGATAAAAAGTAGAACCAGGAGTAAAAGAAAGCCAAATGAAAAATGGAGTGGGGCATCAGAATTCGACTGTTGTCGTCTAAGTTTCATTAGATGCATAGCAGATGCCGTCCTTAGTAATCTGGCAGTACTTACTACTCCGCAGCACAAGTTGTCCAACTGCACGAAAATCCCAGAAGTGTGCACAAGAGGTCTGATCTTGGATGCGAAGAAAAATGTCTCCGCTACTAATTGTAAGGCTAAAATGTTTTCCAAGGCCATTTATCCCAGAGAGAATAAAGAAACCACGGCCAAAAGATAAGCTACAAAATGTAGCATGGAAAAGTCAAAAATGGGTAAATCAATCATTGACTGGAATAGTACGGAGACATGACGTTGCCAGTTTGAGCGGAGTAGAAGATTAAAATAATTGTGCGAGATGACAAAACAAGTAGCCTAAAAAAGTGACTTAAGCATGCATATATAATGTATCATCGGGCGATCAACTTTTCAGATTTTAAATCGCGATAAACAATACCGTGCTGATGCAAGTGCTTAAGAGCAATCTCAGCAAGATAGAGTTTCACACCTTCCGTAAACATGTACTATTGCTAAGTGAGGAAAGGATTAGGTCGCATGCCTCTGGCTAAACGAGTAAACAGATCCCCACCATGCACAAAGTCAAGGATAAGATAGACTTTTCCTTCAGTTTGGAATGCTACAAAATTGTTTTGCAAATACGACTTACCGTACTGCAGGTTGACAACGAATGGATGCTTTATTTGGGCTGGAATATCTCATTCTATTTTGGTTTGAACTCAGTCCCTCACCGCAAGCATCAAATCACACATCTACATATCATACTCTTAAGAATAGCTTTCCTCAAGACTTCCATGGCATAGAGCACCCCTTTATCAGCTCCAGTTGTTTTCGAACAAGGAAAAGCTCCAAAGATTATATCAAACTTTAAAGTAGAGCAGTACATTTCCAAATGGCCTAGTTTCCGTCCACTTCGGGACTGAAATCCGTGTGTGGAAAACAAAAACGTTTAACGCTGTTAAAAGTTATACCGAATGATACCAGAACGATCAGAAATATGCAGTCGCGAATAACAACAGGGTTTGCGAGTAAACAGCTATGAGTACGAACAAGTTCTGCGAGTTTTGGGAGCGTCCGATTTCCGTTCCAAAACGGAGTGAAATCAGTGGGAGGAGGAAACGAAGCTTGAAGGTTGTATAAAAAGTGTTACGCAGATGCTAAAACCGTGCGCAATATTGTCTATCACATTGCTTCATTAGTATCCCGCTCGAGTAGCTCTTGTCCAACACACGTGTCCTATCTCAGAAAGGAGCTTTGGGGTACTGCAATATGGTCCCATAGGTTTCTTCAATATCAAGTGCAGTCTAAACAATCGCTAACACAGCACTTATTAAGAATGGGAAATGGTAGTCGGTGGAAAACTGCACGGGTAGGGACTGGCAATTTTCGACTATCCGATTTCCGTCCGAAACTTGTCGTCGCTTTCTTCGGATGAAATCGGACGGTCATCGGATTGAAACCGGTCACACACGCTATCAGTGTATGTCAATGCACATGACATCTGTTAACAACTTAGAGCAAAATTAAGTGTCCTTAGGTGGTTTCCCGCAAGAAACCGAGTGATTCAGAAGATGGCTTGCACTGTGGTTTCCTGGATAAAGCACGTGCAGGCGGATTTTCAGCGTCCAGATCTAGTAATTGACCTCTGGTGGTCGCGCGTTAGTGAAGGATCGGCACGTAGTAACGTCGTATTGCTGATGTCTCACTAACAGTGCATATGCAGTGAAAACGGAGCGTAAATTTTCTTCGTAGCATTTTGGTTTCTGCAGAAGTTTGTTTTTCGAAGTGCCGGGGCTCTGGCTTGCTTTCTGGCACACGAAACAAGAAGCTCGTCAAGCAAGTGTCTGTCTCGTCTGTGGAGAATGACCTAGGTCAAATTCGCGGAGATTCCTGACGTCAATTTTAGATGGTAGTATCACAGTTTAGCCTGTGTTCGTTAAGCAGGGTAAGTGTTAAGTTCGCGCGAAGCACATTATAACCGACTGTGCCTAGACTTCGAGCGTTTTATAGACGAGCAAAACCCAAGATCTAGATAAAACTGGATTAAACAACATTAAAATATCGAGCATCGAATATTCATATAGTGTTACACTTGATGCAAAGAAAAAACAAGAGGACGTACAACCTTGCGACGTAAGGCTTGATGAAGGCAAAATGTTGACACATTTCGTGTAGTACTATATGAGGGAATGACTCACAACTTACTTTTCAGGTTTTAAATCGCGATAAACAATACCGTGCTGATGCAAGTGCTCAAGAGCAAGAGCAAGCTCAGCAAGATAGAACTTCACATCTTCTTCTGTAAACATGTACTATTGCTAAGTGAGGAGAGGATTAGGTCGCTTGCCTCTTTGGCTAAACGAGTAAACAGATCCCCACCACGTACAAAGTCAAGGATAAGATAGACTTTTCCTTCAGTTTGGAATGCTACAAAATTATTTTGCAAATACGACTTACCGTACTGCAGGTTGACAACGAATGGATGCTTTATTTGGGTTAGAATATCTCGTTCCATTTTGGTTCGAACTCTGTCCCTCACTGGAAGCATTAAATCATACATCTATGTAGCATACTCTTAAGAACAGCTTTCTTCAAAACTTTCATGGCATAGAGCACTCCTTTGTCAGCTCCACTTGTTTTTCGAACAAGAAAAACCTCCAAGGAAGATTACATCAAACTTTAAAGTAGACCAGTACCTTTCCAAATGACCCCTGACCAAGCACTCTGAGTAACTCGAAATCATTCGGATCGACACGGTCCCGTTTCTGTGCTAGGTCTTCAACACAAATTTCCGTTAGTTTCTCCTCATTCTAGAAAAGTAAGATAAAAAACCATAGAAAACCTTCAAATTTCCAGAGTATTCCGTGTCATCGACCGAAAAAGACTGAAAAATGCGTAACAAGCAAGAATGATGAACTACAGATTTCCCATCACCACGGTCGTCTTCGCAAAAAGGCTGCACCAACGGCGCAAGCGGCATGAGCAACGGCAGCCAAGCCGTCTAGGTCAGCTGTAACTGAAGTCCAAGAGTTAGTGCGGTAGTCATCGGAAACCTATGATTGCTAAATTAGGTAGTGTACCACAAGCCGACTTTTTTCAGAATAACATGAGCGAAGTCATTATATATAAATTTTAATGTGATGGCGTGGCATTTAAATCAATTGTTACATCTGCACCTATCATTCCAGTCCCATTAGAATTCGAATATGAATCTGGAACACCTTTTACTTAATCTAATGTATATAACGGTTCTGCTTGATTACGCTAGCAGATCATTTGTTTTATTAACTTCTAAGGTCACTGTTTACCTCTACTCCTGTAAAGAGTAATCGAAACTAGTTTGGCGCGTGGTTGAATTTAAATCGTTGCTCTGACGGCACCTTTTCTGTCTGCCTTTCAGTAAGGCACTCCTGCGCAATTATTGAAGAAAGACAAAAACCTGAAGCGAACAGTTGACTGTAACTTTTCTTTCATCCCTTCCTATGTTACTGATTCTTTCTTATGGAGCCTAGGTGTTGCGTAATAGAACTTACGTCTCAATCCTTGTGGTTCTCCCTTGTCTGCGTTCTACACTCCGGGCAATTTTGAACGCGAGATATCACGCGCGTTCGTCGGTCCATGGTCGTTAGACGCAAAATGCTACACCAACTGAAAAAAATTCCAAAAAGTCATTTTTGTTAAACCTAGTCCAGTTTGAATTGATACAAATTCAGAAGATTCTTTTTAGCATTTAAGGATTGTTGCCCAAGGGATCCATGGCAGCGAATCTTTCTTTTTCTACCCATTTACGAGCAGCTTTCTAATGTTAAGGCTTTGATAAATTTACAGCTATTAAGGTAAAATGCTGAAAATGTACCATTTGGGTAGCTAAATGCTATAGTGACTGGACTAATCTTAACTGATATTTAGAACGTCGCAAACTTGCTGCATCACTATGCTTTTTATTTTAGTGAAGTTTTCTGAAATGGTGCATGTGAAGGATTAATTGCTGTTAAGTGCATTGAGTTTATCGGTGTAGAGGGTAAATGTGACTCCCATGTCAGCCCGTCGACTCGAGATATGCACGTGAAGCATTGCGTCTTAGCGACCCAACAGTCCAGAAGAGACGGAGGAACTGAAGGAGTAACCAGGCTGCGCAGGCGCCTTGCGCAGATACGAATCCAAAAGCAACTAGAAACGTGTTTTAGCCGGTGCGATGATAGCGATGGCTGCGAATTCGTTCTCGTCGTTTACTACGGGAGCAGAAAGAGACACCAAGGAACCGACTGGGAGCATCCCCGGTTTAAATTCTTCCAATTGTGACCCCGTGTTTCGCCGTCTATTTGGGCTTGGAAATACGGCAGCAGCTCATCTCTAAGTTCGCCTCTTAATATGCGCTAGGTAGCGATGAGGTATTTACGAGTTTGACGGTAGTACAGCAAGTAGTGGTTCAGCTCTTGGAGTGGAGGTGTGTAGGAGACCTCCCAAGTTCAAAACAAATGTCCTCTTGTCCCTAGACCCTTTTAATTTGGTATATTCTAGCTTTGAGAGCCGAACTATGGTCGGTAGGCCGTACTTATGAGTAGGTCATATTTGAGAGGTGTATGGTAACCTGAACATCTTTGGTGACCTTCGCGAGGATAATCTTATGGCACCCCTTATCATGTTACCCGCAGCCTTGCTCCGTGGTGCGTTCCTGGTTATTTAGCAGAGCGATGGAATGAATACACCCAGGGTTTTTCCTCTCATACGTGTTGAGGAAACCCCCAATAAGGTAGATGCGAAGAAGGTCAGACACCCCAATACGGAGGACACAACATTTGGCGAAGTTGCAAGGTAAAGCAAACTTGGTGGAACGGTCGTGTAGTAGGCTTAGCCTGGCCTGTTATTTATCAGCGATATTAAAGTCCGTGACCTCCGACTTGAGGTCAGCAACATAAACCAGGCATTCGGTTTGAATCCTTCCGGGAAGATCCTTGAAGAATAACTTGAAAAGTTCGGGTTTGTGCGCAGGTTCCGGCGGCAACTTGCTTGTCGTTAGCACTGGCGTAGACAGGATTTCTTGCACACGCACTCGTTTGGTTCCGTCTCCCAAGAAGTCGGCGATCCCAGAGTATAGGCAGCAGCTAACACTAATTTTCCGGAGCTTAAATTGCGATGCTTCTTGTTGCAGCTTATGAAAAGCTATACTGAAGTCAACGAAGCCTATATCTAGCGCAGGCCAGCATCTGTTGCTGTTGCCTATGGTTCTTGCTGCCAATAGGTAAGTAATGCAAAAGTGACCGCTTTGAAAATTGTGCTGTGTAGTAGTGATGTTCAGGTCAGTACAGTGCTTCTGTAGAGCGCGTTTGATAATATTCACCTTGTAATAGGAAATTTTCTACATCAGATAGATTGGGCGTTAGCTTGTGGGGTCAGGGTGCTTTCAACCTTCCTGCTTTGGCTTCACAAGTCCCAGTTTCCAGTTGATGGGCGATAACCCGGTTTCAAAAGAGAGCTGCAAGTTCGACAGTTGGCTGTGTAATTATAATCTACACTGCCTTGAGAAAAAGGGTATGCGGCCCATTAGTGCCAGGTAAGGAGTTAGGACCTAGTTGTGGCAACTTTTTCGCAGCAGTTTCGGTGTTGGATCCTACGTCCTGAATACGGATCAGACCCGAAACTACAAGGATGTTGAGCAGTGGTTCCCGCAATGCGTAAATGGGTGAGCAACCTTTAGCTAGAAGCTTCGCTTTCTCGCCATCTTCGTAGAAAAGTGAATTTGGTGTACTGGAGAAAAACGGTTAAGACACTGCCGACTTTTGTCCATTTGTTAATACATGTGTGGGGTTTTCAGATTTAGACTTGGTGTGTTAAGGCAAACTTTGGTTAATCAAACAAACACTCCGTGGTTGTAGCTGGTTGGTCCGAGTTAATCCTGTTCCAGGAAATCCTTTGGCTGCAGGGTTACAGGACATGGCGTGTTTCGCCTAGCAAGCATTCTCCCTATATAAGGCTACAAAGGTCTGTTGCCAGCAGCTTGACGTGGTGGACATGACTTGCCACTAAATAAAGTATATGCCTTCCGCCTTTCCAGCGGATCTCACACCCTTCACCAAAGTCAGCCACTACGTAGATTTTATTTGCTTAATTCCTATGTTGGCGAATTCACCAAACACAACCCCACTTTCGGCATTATAGTAACCCATTCATTTAACCCGATTGCGCACCTAAACACTTACGTATGCACATACAACATAGCTAAAGTATGTAGTGGATAAACTGTAATATTCTTGTTCACTTATTGAGCGCACGCGTCTGTAATATTATGATCAAGCCATTTTAGGTGTGTCCCGCACTGTGGGTAATAAAACAATCAGTTATTTAGTTATTTTCGGCGGGGGTGATCATGAAAACAGGGCAAGTACTAATAAAAGGTACAAAATTAAATACTACCCATAGCACTTAAGGTATATTTGTGAGTGTGTGTATGTACGTAGATGTTTATGCAAGCCAATATGTTCCTTTGTATTGTATACGTCCGCTGAGTCTTTGCCTGTTTAATCGCGTCACCAAAGTGTGAACAGATAACGGACGTCCGTGGGTTCTTTGTGCTTATTCAGGGGAGCAAGGAGCCACATTTTGGGTTTTTCATTTTTAATGGTTTCCTGAACGCATGGTGGTCTGAACTGCCTGGGGCCAGTTTAATAGATTGCAAGCGGTGCCATAGGTGCTTGCGCTGGTTCATTTAATTCCTTCTTCTATCAAGCCATGAGAATCCCTCGTGTCTGATTTGCTTGGGTTTGTGGCCACTTATTCAATGAGCTGGTTTACCTTGGAGCGCAGGATCGCCCAAGGACCATCGTTGTCAAGGCTTTGTGGGGTATCCAAGTCCAGCATGCTGGCCACTTCTCCTAGGCCGGTAAGGTCGTTTCGCAAAAGATTATGGTGAGGAACCATTCGGTCTTGACTGACAAGTCGTCCAATCAATTAAATGGTGAGTACTAAGCTCCTTTTTTGCCAATCTGTGGGACAGTGTCCAATCCAGAGTTTCCAGAAGGTACTGGTGAGCAGACCAAAGCAAGGAAGTTACGCGCCTGGAATTGAAAAAGTTCTGGTGGGTGTGAGGAGGTGCTGAGGCAGTTTTGTATCTAGGACCGCTCCAAGTAGACCAGTATCAAGAGACTGCGGTGCGTCCGCAGTTGGTAAAATTCCGGTAAATACCAGTCGTATTGAAGAACTCCAAGATTAAGCTGACCCTGCCGCTCGCAAAGCTCTTGTGTGAATCTAGAATGCAGTTGCCGTTACCCGACGGGGTCTTGTGCCTTACACGGCTGGTAAGGGTCTACATACGTCATGTATGCGGTAGCAGAGCAGTTTATATTATCGTCCGCGCTAGTCTCAATGTTTTGCACCTCGCTTTCTAAACTTCTGCACCGTATTACACCGACCCCGGTCCTTGCCCCATTTCGATTCGTTCGTGAGAGCTTATGTCCTTGGATGTAAATAATTAATTAATTTATTCTTAAATACTTCGAGGCACACCACGTCTGGCAGGATCAAGAATTTACAAAGATTGTTCCGTAACAGGCACGGTGCTTCGCATGAAATACGATGTCCGCACAATACACAGGAGCTAAGGAAATGGCGGATGCGCTGGTCTGGAACGGAACCTTTAATGATGTGGCGAAAGTCTAGGTTCAAATATGTGTAACAGCGTGATATATAGAGTGGAGACGGGTGGCTAAAACAGGGAAAAGACTTTTAGTGTACTTTCCCAAAATATACTGAAATGATGTGAAATGACGCTCTGGGTAGCCTTCCAGTGTGTTTTTGGGCAGTGGCTTTATTCGGTGGCTGGTCACATCCGCCTCGCCGCAATGTTGATAAATCAAAACTGGCGGCTTTTTATGCGAAGAACGCCTGCCAGGCGAAAACACACCGCGTCCTGGAAGACTGCGGTCGATCCGTTTGGACGTTTATGTATAATTGGCAATGTTTCGTACAAACCGATTGTACACTGGGCTATTCGCAAACATTCGAGCTTCCATGCTCTGCATCGGCTACTAGAATTGCTTGGTCCCTGTACGCCACTGGTCATTGAAACCAGTCAAGCAAT